GAAGCACTAGACAGTTGTTTCATCCTCGTGTGAAACTCCTCGACTGTCCATATCCACTATCTGACCAGGAATTAAACTGAGAACCTTCAGACCCTGCGACGAGCGTTCAACCACTGGGCTTGGGATTCTTGATCAATTTGAGATACCGTAAAATCGCTTAGCATTGTCTTCGATAGATAAATGTCTTAGAGTGAAACACCGTTAGCCATAGGTTATCACTAGAAATGCGTAAATTATTTGCAAAATTAGTCACTAGTGAGAAAATTATCATTATGAGCGTAAGGGTTTGTGTTGCGTAAACTTAAGTTAATCAGTCTAAATTTGTTTATAATGACTTACTTTGAATTAATATTTTCCATGTAATCTTTTTGTTTTCTAGTTATCACCACGTGATACAAGTAATTTCGATAGTGAATTTACAAAAGTCACTCCGGAATTATCACCAACTGATAAATTATTTGTTATGAATTTAACTCAAACAGAGTTTAGTGGATTCTCTTTTGTTAATCCGGAATTTATTGTTGAAGTATAAGATTTTGATTCTTTCTTAGTATCTTGTTTGTTTGTTTCCTCCCTTCTGTGTATTACTCTTTGAATTTCATTGTGAATAATTACTCAGTTTCAGCATACCTCTATGTTCTTTTCGGTCCATCTATTTATTTATCCATTGTTCCTTACTGTTTTCTTCCGTTCTTTAAATGCATTTATTCATGGCAGTGTTACTTCTGTTGTATACAGAGAGTTTGTTTTTATTATGTGAATTCACGGTGTGTGTATGATGTATGTATGCGTGATCGTTACTTTGAGTTTATGAAATAAAAAAATGCAAACAATGAAACCAAAACAATGGTAAATATATATGAATGTTGTCACTAGCTACCTTATTGACATAGTTGCCATGTTACAGGGTATTATCAAGTGTTTCTGTGTTGCATTTTTGGTTTGTTCATATACTTGTCAACTTCAACTATGGTAAATTTATGACTAACCGACTACTTTTCATTTATATATACATATATAGATAGATTCATACAGGAAATGTATTAGTATAAGATCATATTCTTAGTATTGGATGTGTTGGCGTTAATTATTTCACAATTGTTGTTCGTTTTCAATATGTTATTTGTAAATTTGTTAAAGTTTTATTTTTAATTAAGAATCTATTTACTACTTTTCTTTTTCTTACTCTGTGTTTGCTCATTTTTATTTTAATGTGATATAATTATTGTTGGAACTATGTTTATTATAATCGATTTACTTTGTACTTGTTTATTTAAGATACATTAGGGATACATTAGTTTCCTTTACATAGACTTTTTCTCATTTTTTTTTCTGGATTAATGTGAAATTCCTACTTTCTGTTACTGACTTGGATGTGCAATAAAATTGATGGTATATATGAATGAGAAAAAACAAAACATTCCAATTATGAAGTACTTTTACTACTATTAATATATAGTAGTATGTGCAATGTTACTAGTATCAATAGCAGTAGTAGTGATAGCAACTGAACTAATGTACTTGCTGGCTAACCTGATCATCAATAATTTACTTAAATTTTTTATGTATTACACTAATTTAACGTATAATTTATTTTGAAATTTTTTTCATCCATTTTCTTGATATTGTTTAATTTTAGTCAAATTTAGTTGTCTCCGTGTGTTGTTGTCGTTGTTGTTGTTTGTTTGTTTCGTTTTCATAACATCTGCATTGGTCTTTCTTCTTCTTTTCCTCCTTCTCATCTCTTCCTGTATCTGTTTATTTTTCTTTAGTTTTGTTTCTTTTATCATGTGCGTCAAATATAAAACATTGAACACTTTAATGAGATTCTCTGTTGTTTATTATTATTGTTCGAATGAAAGCTGGTTTAAGAAAAATAAAATGCCAATTGAAATCGATCACAACAAAGACATGAGAGTTTTGTATGTTTGTAAGGCAGCTGTTCTCTTCAATTTTTCTCTTTTCTTTGTATGTGTACAAACAAGTCAGCGATTATGCACGTTTATTACATAACAAGGAGTTGTTTTCATGTTTATAAACAACCCTGTTTCATTTTTTGTCATTTACATATTTTAATTTGTTGAGCGAAATAACCATTTTATTCCAATTTATTCATTTGTGAATCATTGTGTTTATTCATAAAATTATTATTAGAAGAAATAAAACGTTTTTTTTCTAGAAAAATTAATTTCTTTTTGCTGTAATCACTGTTTTATTGATTTTAATTCATATATAATAGTAAATGTTGAATCTTATACACTAGTCGGTTAATCAGCACCTAAATATTAACTTGTCTACTACTCAAATAAAAGCTTTAGATATTCCTCACTTTCACAAATCAAAATCAGTATAGGTCATCATTACTAATCGTTTTCATTATCTCGTTATTGGCGTTTATGTTTTATAAAACAAGATAGTAGGTTCAAGTCTCAATGTAAATATCAGTACGAGAATACAGTTACATCTAGATATCGAGTCCCAAATCGGAAGAAATATTCTTGAATTTTTACTGTTTGTCATAATCTATCTTTTTTGAAAATCAGTAGTTTTAAACTATTGGAAAGTTGTCATTAATATTGATTTCTCACTGTTTTGTTCACAGAGTTATCGAATACATAATCAAAATATGCGAAATAAACATTTTGAAAGAACTGACGTTGATATATTTAAGCTTTCGTTATTTTGAAGTGTACTTAGAGTTTTAATAATTTTCCGAATTAGGATTGCTTTAATTTATACAAAGTGTTCTTTTGGCACGTCACTTTTTTAAGAATAATGCGACATGACTGGTTAGAATATTGATAAATATATATAAAAGCTTTAGCACTAAGTTGTAGGCTTGAATCTCAGCTACTTTGTGGAGTAGCACTGTTTCTCATGCAAAAGTTTATTTTAAAAGTCAAGTGTATCAAACTTCGCTTGAATAAATAAGTTGTCATATATATACCTTTCTACTGTGCCATAATAATAACAAACATAAAAGCTTTTTTCAGATGCTATGAAATACATTTTTTTAATGCAGATATTGATGCTAACTTTCGACTTTTTCCTAAATAATAAATTTCAAATTAAAATTATCCACTATAAATTTAATTTCTGGAGAGCACATATTTTGTGGTTTAAAATTCAGTAGTAATAAGTAGTTTCGATCATTTGTTGAACATCATTAAATTTCATGGAACTATTCATTCGCCTGTTTTAGTTAAATAGTATTAGGTTTTGCGCACAAGATACTGATCAAATATTGTGTTTGCGAATTATCAGTGTTAAGCTGAACTATTAACTTCTAACCGAAAAGCTTCTGTGTCTAGTTATCGGAAAAATACATTATGTTTTCATCTAGTGATTTGAACATGACCTTTAATGATATATATAAACGTTGAACGAAAAGAGCATACATACTGGCTGATATAGTTTTAGTAAACTGTTTAATTTCTTATTGCTTTGGATTTTAATCTTTTCAACCACTTACCGCTTAAATTCATCCAATAATCTTAGTTGGTAGCATATTTATATAGAAGTTAAGACATCAGAACATTTCTGAATGATATTTTTCAATTATTGAGATGTTTATAGATTAGTTGTTCCTTATTACGATTGATTGCTCAACGTCATATTACAAATACTCTGCATAGTTTTATGTGTTGAGATTGTGATAGTCAATTTTCAATGGAGCAATCGACTTTTGAATGATTGTTTTATTCGTAAGGATAACCTTTTTTGACTCACGATGGTTTAGTGATGTATCCATCTTATAAATTATTGGAACATGAAAATAAGTACTTGGAGTAGTGTTTTCATGTTGCTTTTTTAAAAAACAAAGCAGCCAGTTGGTTTGATACTCGTGCTGTTATTATATCTACAGTTGTGATATTGTGGGTAGTGACTGGAAGCAAAAGAGTTATTATGGTCTTTAAAATAATGATTCGACACTGATTGAGTGTTTGCCATTCACTATACTGCTGCAACACGATAAAGATTATATGGAAACAAAGATGGATAGCCTTCATCAACTGGAATAGATAAATGATTGTAAGATATTTAGTCACCGTATGAGATCAAATATTATAATTCTGCTTTGATTTTACGGAAATTCAACATTTATATTGACTTTTTGTGTGACTTTTGTATTTGTAATGTATTACATCAAATTTGAATGTAAGATGAAACGTGTATGGACAATAATCTCTTTCACAACTTTGGTAAGTAATTCTTAACGTTGATAGCAAGGTGAATACTGTTTCTACTGATATCAGATAATAAGTGACTCGCATAATTTTATTCTACATACGACATAGTGGATATATGAGTTTTTGAACAAAATATGTGTGTACACGTGTTAGCATTTGCTTGATTATGTCAAATTACACTGAGATTTGTGGTACGCTATGATCATTCTTGATTGTTTCTTTTAAAATGAATAACTATCTATCTTTACAACTTAATTGAATCCACAAACCATATCCTTCATTTGGAACTCCTGAAATGAATGAAAATTTCAAATTTTAAACGAAAAGTGATAACAGCTGGAAAAGTACCAAAAAGTTGTTTCGTCACATATTGGATTATTTTTAACAGTACGTACCCACAGCCTCATACAAGATCAAATCTTTGATCTTCAGGTTATTTAGCAAGCATTACACTTAGTATTTCGGAGAGTTTTTATTTATTTATAAATAACTAGTCGATTCAATCTTTCATGTCAGGCGTTCGATCTCATTATTGTTACTGAAAAAATATTCAAAATGAAGACACGAAAAATTATTGTAATACCACAGTATATGATCTTTCACTTTGAAGATACTACTTTTGCCAAATGTTTTTCAATTCATAAACTTCTCTATATTCATATGTATTAAATCTCACAATGGTTTTATTACGTAACTGATGTTTTCTTTTTTACATTCTCTTTCCATCAAATAGCTTTCATCTACATTTGTGAAATTCATTCTAAAGTACATTTGTATGGTATACCGAATACATTTTTTACAACAGTGATGATGATGTTATGCTATCGTGATCGGTCAATTCCAAAAGGTTTCATTATATTATTCATTTAATAATGTGTTTCATCTGATAGATTTAAACCTTGTGCAGTTATTCTATAATTCATTAAAAAAGTTTGCCAATATGTACAATGTTTACATACAATTGATTTTATCAGAGATCAATATTGAACAATTGAAAGAAATGATGAAATTATCTGTAAAGTATGTTTTAATTAATAATGACACTCATAATAATAATAATAATAATAATAATTATTATTATTATTATTATTATTGTAAATTATAGATGTAAACATTTCAAATCGATATCCAATAAATCAATTAATCATCGTTATGTAAGATAAATTCATTTATTGTTAATAAAATCCATTTTATATTTTATGATTATTTTAGATTTTTAATATATTACAAAAATATATGGATTGTTTTAAAGATGCTTTCTATTCTAAGCATAATTTCAATATATTTTTAAAATATATCCTTTTTATATAAATTGATCATTTGAATAAAAATTAATTAATTTGTAAATATTATTGATTATTTATATTCTTTGATTAACTGTTACTTGCTTACTTACTTATGCCTGTTACTCCTTGTGAAGGAGCATAGGCCGCTCACCAGCATTCTTCATCTAACCATGTCTTGGGCAATCCTTTCCAGCTCTTTTCAGTTGTTATTCATCCTTTTTATGTCTGCTTCTATTTCCCGACGTGATGTGTTCTTTGGCCTTTCTCTTTTCCGCTTCAATTCAGGATTCCAAGTTAAGGCTTGCCTCGTGATGTAGTTTGGTGATTTGCGTAATGTATGTCCTATCAATTTCCATCGTCTTTTCTTAATTTCCTCTTCAGTTGGAATCTGGTTTGTTCTCTCCCACAAAAGGCTGTTGCTGATGGTATCCGGCCAATGGATGTTGATTATCTTGCGTACACAGCTATTTATAAATACTTGTACCTTCTTGATGATGGCTGTATTAGTTCTCCAAGTTTTATCTCCATACAATAGAACTGCCTTGACGTTCGTATTGAAGATTGTGACTTTGATATTGGTTGAAAGTTGTTTTGAGTTCTATATGTTCTTAAATTGTAGGAATGCTGCCCTTTAATTAATTAACTGTTGCTAACCTGATATTATAAAATCATATATTTATTTTAATATACAATTTTATTGTTTGTTTTTTAACTTTTATTTGTACTGTTGAAAAATTATTTTGTTATCTGATAATCTATAGGTTATAAAGTTTTGATTAAAATTTTTGTGTTGAGATTCATCACCATTGAGAAACTATTAATAGAAAAGCCTCTCTTAATTTAGTTTTATCGTCATAACGTATTTTTTGGGAACTTAAATGATTGATGTTTCTATGAGGTTCAACCTCAAGACAGATTTGTTTCTAATTGAATGTATTACTTGTGAATTATATAACTTTAATCCAATAAATATCAGTCTCTAACCTTTGGTTATATATCATAAATTATTATACGAATGTGATGTTTTGCATTGTGTATAATAGTAACTAAATGTTGAATCATCAAGTAGAACTCAGAAAATACCAAGTGAGTATCAATTATTTTCAGTCGTTTTCTTCTATCTAATTAAGTTCACTTTCAGAGAAATATATAATGTCCTAAATCATATATCATATGATTTTCCTGAAGTATATTCACTATTTCTTTAACATTCATTTATTTCTAATACATTTGAAGCATTTTATTAGCATGCAATATGGTTGCGGCATTCGACTATCCTCTATTTATCACTCATTTAAAGTACGTTGTTCAGTTTTAATTTTTGTACTTTGAAATCACTCTTTTTAATTTGTATCCTATACTATGGATGTATTAATTCGTGAAGATTTGCATTATCCTGTGGTTTACATTCATGACTATTGTTGGGATATATATGCACCTTGGACAGATACTTCGATATTGCCTTTTTTACACATTTCAGTTTCGATAATGAAGCTATGCAAGACTTTACTAGTAAAAATAATACCTGGTCAATAAATTATCACTTATCTTAACTCAGTAGCTTAGTAGATAAAGCTTCGACATTTGAAGAAAATGGTACTTGTTTCCAGTCTTAGTCTACACAGCAGCACTGGTATGAAAGTATATCCAGCTGGTAAGTCCCAAACTGGTTAAGACACTCGTCCTGGATTTCAGTACCATCCACTATCCAAATCAAGATTTCTTTCATCTACTTTTCTTGATATATTGATATCCATGATCATTTGAAGCTTAAGAAAGAAAGGAAATATTATTAACCTAGTCAGCAAATAGGTTTGTTGGAAGAATTTTTCGATGATACATGTTGATATAGGCTTCCGTACACTGAGTTTCAAATGTTCACTGGTTAGTAATCATTTCTATAGACAAGTATTCTGTTGTTGTTGTTTTTTTTTTAACATTTTAAACTAGCATGCTCAGTATATTGATCATTTCGGTTAGTTCTCCAATTTCATATTATACAATATCGTTTCTTATTTCTGCTTATTTCCTATAACACAGAGACTTTTATTAACAATTAATTCAATAAGTTTATTTTTGTTTCACTATGTGTATTTTTATTAGAAACCATAATTTATTTCCATCATCATCATGTACTTTTTCAACTTCTATTCAATTACCTTGGAATGGTATAAACTCAGTATAATTTTTTAAATTAATATTTAACTTTCAAATAATACACTTCTACACCAATTAAAACTCTCAAGTACTCCTCTTTACCTAATGGTTTAACATTGGTTTAATTAGTAATTCAATAAACAAATCTGTACTTAGTATTCTTTAGTTATAATATTAGTACACACCATTATTCAGCTAATTCGAGATGAAAGAAATAAAGTCTTTTATCTAATTTCCACTTTCATTGGACATAAATATTTGTTGTTAAATAATAAATAAAACCAATACGTTAATAAACTTTCGTTAATCAACTGTATATCGAAGATGTCATCATGATCATCAGACAAATCAAGAGTGAGAAAGCAACAGGACCTGATAATATACCAGCCGAAGCTCTAAAGTCAGACATTGAAGTAACTGCAAGCATGCTTCACGTTCTGTTCAGGAAGCTTTGGAAGGAAGAGCAAGTGCCGACGGACTGGGAAGGACACTTCATCAAGAAAAAGAAAGGAGATCTGAGCAAATGTGAGAACTACAAAGGCATCACACTACTGCCAGTACCAGGAGAAGTTTTAAGCATAGTGTTACTGAATCGGATAAAAGATTCAGTAGACGTTGAACTGCGAGATCAACAGACCGGATTCCGTAACGATCGGTTGTGCACAAACCAAATAGCGACATTACAGATCATCATTGAGCAATCACTATAGATTAACCCCTTGACTATGTAAAGGCGTTTTACAGTGTGGATAAGAAAACCTTCTGGAAACTTCTTCGACACTACAATGTACCGGAGAAGATCGTCAACATCATCTGGAATTCATACGATGAAATACACTGCAAAGCCTTGTATGGAAGATAGCCGACAGACGCATTCCAAATGAGGATCGGGGTCATACAAGACTGCTTATTCTCCCCATTTCTTTTTCTTTTGATGGTTGGCTGGATTAAGAAGACTTCCACATCTCAAAGATGGTACGGAATACAATGGACAGCTTGGACTCAACTATTCGATTTGGACTTTGCAGATGATCTGGCTCTTCTATCCCATACACACGAACAAGTGCAGATGAAGACAACTAATGTAGCAGCAGCCTCTATGGTGGTAGGTGTTAACATACAGAAAGGAACAACCAACATCCTCAAATACAACACGGAGAACATCAACCCAATCACACTTGATGGAAAAACCCTGGAAGATGTGGGATCTTTCACATACCTTGATAGCAGCATCATTGATGAACAAGGAGGATCGGATGCAGACGTAAAGGTGAAGGTCGGCAAAACAAGGGTCGCATTCATACAGTTGAAGAACATATGGAACCGAAAACAACTTTCTGCAAGCCAACATCAAAGTCAAAATCTTCAATACGAACGTCAAGATAGTTCTACTGTACGGAGCTGAAACGTGGAGAACTACTACGGCCATCATCAAAAAGGTACGAGTATTTATAAATAATTGTCTACACAAGATTCTATGATAAGATATAAATTTCATTTTGATTGAGTCAAATAAATCCTTTTACCTTTTTATAATTTATACATATATATATTACAAACACGTTTACTTTTTCTGTCATTATTAGGTGCCTGATGATAGACCTTCAATATGGCGACCTTATTTTTATTCACTTGTATACACTTTATTAAGTGGTTTAGTTGTCTTTTACTTGAAAGTAAGGCATAATATTTCTTTTTTGCTTAATCATAATCAATATTATTATTAAGAAATATTTTCGATGGTGTGAATTTAATACTGTTGTGCCGACAGTAGCTTATTTCACACATGAAAGTTGGAAAAAGCTGAGTACTGATTTTATCACTGGTAAGTAATAATTTTTTTCTAATTCATTTTGATTTACCTTTAAGTTAGTTAGTAATTAAAATGTTACAATAAATGATAAATTTTTTAAAGCAGTTTTCATCATGAATCAAGCTAATGAAAAGTAAAGAATGCTAGTTAGTAATTTCGTTGTAATTGGAAACATCTTAACATAGTACATACATATCACTGCTAAGTATTAAACTCAATATATTTAAGTCTCTTGTGGTGATCTTATTGACAGTAATAAATAACTGAGTTGTAATTTACTAATTAATATTTCAATCAGTTCCTAGTGAAGCTTGACTGTTGTTTGAATACAACAATGATGACTGTATCACTTACTATGTTGTTAAACTTCATGAGATAATATTTTACTAATATACATATACCCATAATGAAAACCTTCTCCGCATTAATACAATCTTTGCAATTCACTCATCTCCCTAAGTAAAGTATGATGATAATTTCATACAATTTTTGACGTTTATAAAATCAAAATAAAAAAAATAAATATCATAGTAGAACAACATGAATTCATTGACTTCGTGGATTGTTCTCAGCTATTTACACTTTAAAGCCTTATTACTATTTATTAAAACGTAACAAATGTCAGAATCTTCTAGGATAACATCAGTTAATATATGGAAATAGAATAATATCTATTATCAATAATACTGAAGTATTATTACTTTTCAAACATTTGTTTATTTTTCGACTTAAATATATGAATATTCTAGAAGTTCATGGAAACAGAAAAATAAATTTCTCTCCAAACCAAACATTAATTATGTAATACGGACTAGTTAATTAAAGTTCAAGAGTAAGAATTCGTACATTAAAGTTTATGAAAAATATTCATTTATGTTTTGATGAATAAGATTAGAATTTTAGATTGTAAATAGCTGAGAAAAAAATCCAAGAATTGTATTGTATCAAAAAAGGAGAGAAATTTTCAAGTAAATTCTGATATTTTAATGGTTGAATTCATGAGTCAATCCAATCTAGATCACCATTAAAAACCTGGAAACAATGGATGGCCGTTTCATCCCAGTATGGGGCTTCTTGGCAGCGCAAGATCATAGATAGATTGAAGTTAGACATTAACACTGCTAGATGCCGGCTCAGTGGTTTAGAGGTTAGACATCGAAGTTCCTAGGTTCGAGATCGTGGATGCGCACTTCTGAGGAGACCCATACTACGACCAAACAGCCATCCAATGCTTCCAGATTTTCAATTAAGATCTAGTTTAAGTCAATTCATAAATTCAACTATTAAAATCACTACAATCTTCACAAACCCCCATTCTAATAAATCCTGATAAATAACTGGACATAAATTTAAAAAATGTAGTTTAGACCTACCATTTATATATTTATTTTAACACATAAATATTGGTGCAAGGAGGCACCAAATACATATGCGCCACACAGATCTCATTTGATATGTGTGAGGGCTATGATACTTCCCGGATGCCCAAACCGAAGCAAGTGGTTTTCTTAGGGGGCCACACCTGGAGCTTTCGACCTGAAGGTCTGATCCATAAGGCAATGGAGCAACGTAAGGAGATGCATTATCATGGAAGCCGGTGACCAACTATTGGTTCATACGCCATTTGTTCTTTCAGGATACTGGAGCCCATGTGCACCATTGATTTGGAATCAAAGTTTTATAACTCCCCTAGGTGGACTCTCCATATCCACCAACCTGGTTAAAAAGCCGGCAATTCGCTTTCGTCCTCTCAATTTCATAAACAACACCCCCCCACGAGAAGGCAGTGAGTAGGACTTCCCTGGCAGAGATTATATACGCTTGTCTATTTGAGAAAATTTTGAGATGGAGAGCTAACTCTCTCCACTATCGGCCATACCAGGGCATTTGGGAGCGACCTGCCATTAGAATCTTGAATAACTTTTAATCCAATCGGTTGATATACATTAAAATATACCTTTTAAAATTTAATTCTCATTCAAGTATTCACTTTTTTCTACATATCAATCAATTATTCAATTTCTTTATTTTTTTCTCGATTTTAATTTAGATTTAATTAAGAATAATATAATTCAACATAAAATTAATAATAATTCAATGTCATTAATTTATTCCAATGAAACTATTAATAAAACTTATATATTAACATATAGTATTGGACGTTTATCTATGAAACCTTTTGGAAAAGGTTTTCGTTTAGTTATTAATGCTAATTATCATTTATTATCATTAAAGAATTTAATTAATCAAACAGAATTAAATTCAAATATTCAATATTCAATTCAACCTTGTTTAAGTCTTAATCAACGTTTAAAATTAAATAATGGTTTATTTGAATTTCTTAGAAAATTAAAAATTGAAGTAAGTAATGAGTTATACATTTTAGTTTGTTTTTTTCTCTGTCCTTCAATACTTAATAAAATATAATATAGTTTCACTGAATTAATTAACTATGCTCTAAACAGGTATCATTATTATGGTTTGACTTGATAATTACGAATAAATTAAGCATTGAGTAGATTGTTATGAATAAATTAATACATATGTATTGTCCCAATGAGTAGAAAAATTAGATTTTCTGACGTTTCGTAACTTAGTGTAAGACACTTCTTCGGAGAATAAATAAACGAATTATTTACTCTTTGAACATAAACTGAGTCATGAAATGTCATAAAATTTAATTTTTCTACTCATTGGGATAGTGCAAATATATTAATTTGTCTATGTTCTACATGTTTGACTACTAGTTAAATATAGATGGACATGAATTATACATTACTTTATTTTTTTAAAAAACAGTTATTGTTAGAATACTCTACGATGTAACTGAATGAAGGTTTTATCAATCCATCAATTCACATTCATTGTTTTGTTCTAGTTTGAAATTCCTTAGAAATGTGAACTTTCTTCCTCATATTAGATTAAATGTAGTATTTACAAATCTCGCAGTAAGTGTAGTATCTTTAAAATGATCTAGACTATTCATTTACTTCCTACTGATTTGTGTTGTTGTACAATAGTCGTCCAACATCATTCATAAGTTATTATCTTACTTTTCGAATGATTGGCTGTGCAAATCCACATTCTTTAGCAGAACTTTGTAGAATTTATCTGTAAATAGTAATCATTTGTCAATAGAATCGTTCATTAACTTGATAGTGAATACTGCTAACGAATCGTACAAAACACTCATGAGACCACTTTGGAGAAAGAGAATTTTGATCTGTACTAGCCTTCTTTATCAGTCATTTATTGCATTGGTACTTAACAGTGTTGTGTTTTAATATATAATCAACAGTGGATGTCTCAAGTTTACAGGCTTATTTCTGAATATTTATCCCTGAAATTTCTTTAGACTCTGCAATGAAACCCTTGATTGTTCTGATAGTTCTGTTTATGAGAAATATTGTAAATATTTGGTAATACTCGCCTTTGATGTTAAGTGGTTTAATGTAGTTGACCGTAGAACCTGGACTTCCATGCCAGTTGTCACTCTTCAGCAAGACGTCCTCTAAACCTTCAGAATATTAATGCTTTTGGTCATCCAGCTTCTCAGTCTAAGATATCATCACTGACCACATGTAAAACTGATATTTACATTGATTGACCTTAACTGGTGACCAGTGTCGTGTTTTTCTATTCACTGGTGCCTTTTCCATATCCTAAAAGTGTTTATTCGCACGTTGCCAGCTAAAATTAGAACGATTTTTAGTGGTTTTTTTAAAGACTATTTGGTATAATTCATTTATATTATCGGTTTCTTTCCTATGCTCATCATCAACTATATCTTATTTTACTAAATGATCTGTTAAACATAACTGTTTCAAATATTTACAGCTACGCTATCAGCAAGCAGAATTCATTACTATATTGACTGATGTTTCTAAATGATGTAACTTATCTCTTTTTCAAAAATGTATTCCTTTTTCTTTAAAAATAAGCAATTCTCAGATTAATTTTAATTGCTTCAATTATCCACAATTTTTATTTCACATGGCAAATTAACTAACAGTTAACCAAGCTTGACACTTTTCCAACATTTTGATTTATTTTTAGTTACCAGGTATTTATGCACCATCTTTATTATCGACAAAATCTGCATTTAAAACTTTATTATCATTTCGTTCACTTGTTTATTCAATAGGATTTCGTCGGTAAGTTAGATACTGGTAAATCGCCTTTATGTTACGTTTTGCTTCAAATAATATATTTATATTATCTTAGGGAATTTGTGGAGAATTTTGAATTTCAGAGTTTACATCACTGGTATAAGGGATTATCCACTAATGACATTGGTCGATAATTGGACGACTTCTCTAATCGTTTAAAGTTAGGCATGTAAACGATTGAATACCAGCGAAATAGTCTAAAGTTTAAGCGCTCGCTACATGACCTGAATATGCTGGGTCAAGTCTGCAAATGAGTCGTAGATGCCCACTGTTGATGAGCCCTAGCTAGGACAAAACAGCTTTACAATGATTGCTGGTTTTCTGTGATTATCTGACTAAAATCAGTCCCTAATGTAAACTGCGTTATGTAAGATAACTGTATAACCTTAAGAAGGATTTTTATGCTTTGATTAAAATTTAAAGTATTTTTTATATGAAACTGTATTTTATTTAGCACAATTAGATTGAATACATTATTTTACCTAAAAAAAAATCTTGTCTGTTACACAGTCACTTATAGTCAGCCGGGGATTTGACAGAAATATATATGTATGTTCAAAGAACCTCATCACTATTATATTGACTCAACTTAGACCATTTTTCAATACTTAGTTACAAATTAATATTTGTGGAAACTTTGTTTTTGTTCAACTTTGTTTTCTGATGCTATCACTTATTAGTTTTTTCATCAGTAAAAGAAGAATTCTTTTTTTTATTGTTTGGTTAATGTTTACTTGGCTGATTTGTTGATTTTTTGGAATCTAAAATAAGTTATTTGTTGAATCCTATCTGATATATAAATCTTAACTGACCTACATCCACGATGAAGAATGCATTAGGAAATAAAAATAATAATAATTACACTTAAGATTTATTATTGTATCGAATGAAAATAGCATGATCATGTGCCTTTAAACTAAATCTATCACATATATAAGTTAGGTTGTTTAGATCAATATGTTTTGAATATATATTCAACTATTCCTTTATTGGACAGGAATTGGGATACTCTCAATACTTAAACTTTCTTCAAAATGTCTATAAACGAAACAAATATCTTACCCTCGGACAATATATAATGGTAGTTTATTATTTAAAACACTTGATTTATAACCAATAAAGTCGTAGGTTCGAATCCTCTTGCGTCGTTAACTTCCGTCTGAACAACTGTTTACAACCATCAGTTTTTTCGCGTACAAAAAATGTACTTCGAAATTCAGTACATATTTGCTGAATATCTCCCAAAAATGATCAATTTTCCCCAGTTTTAGATTATCATTAAGGTTTGTCTACAGAAATCAAAATAATCTGCTTGAGTATAATAAGCACGAAAAACATCAACTTCGTTGTTTGTTTTTATTTTGCTTACTGTCTACTCCTAAAAACAGTGGAACAACGTCAGGGCATCCGATTACATGATAACCGGTCACCAAATATAACTCGTAAGCTGTTCAACTTCTCGTGGTCACAGAGCCTATATGTACCATTTGTTTGAAACCAAAGTTTCCCGATTCTCTTAGGTTCATCCTCGGCAGTGACCAACTCAGTTCGGATTTTTGACGTACGGTTTTTCTTTAACTTTAGTTTACGACATCCTTTCTACCAGAAGCCAATGAGCAGGACTTTCTTTATATTGGTTTTAAACACGTGACCGTAAGATAGTAGTTCGAGAGGGGCTTAGTCTCTATACACCCTCGGCCGTACTGAACCATTCGAAATACAGATGCGTTCAAATTAATCGAAACTGGAAAAACTATTTTACTGTGATTTTATGTTCTTTCAATTTCTTAACTCATATACATAAAACACGGAAATAGTAGATCGTTTAATCTTGATAATTATATTTAAAGTTCTAGGCAACCTTTGAATAGTAGTCCTAAAATATAGACCATAACAACACCAACAAAAGACAGTTGTATGAATAGGACTATTCTGCGATGCGAGGCATGATTTAACTTTGAGAATTAGAAAACTATCAATTAATTCCATAATCTCTATTATTTTCGCTTAAATAAGATTGTTGATTCGATATTTCCCATTGTTGTTTGACAGACGTTATTGTTATGTATTTTACTCTTATTTAAGAATAGTAACTTGAACCAATATATATACGCACCAGGTTCTACGTTGTGACTGACTGGCATGGTTGCACACTGTTTAGGTATCCCTTTTGTCTTTTGTTTCCTGGTTTTCAATGGCTGTTTAAGCGGGATCAGATATCGATAGACACTAAATTACAACTTATTGAAAATAATTTCAATAATTATTTATAAGTATTTATTTAAAAAAATTGGTCGTTTGATGTAGTATAACCGCTTATAAATATCTGAAAAATTGATTTTTTCACTATATTCTCATACCATCAACACATAAATCTTATAGATTTATTTCTATCAGTCAAATCTAATAATCAACAACGTAGGATCTCGCATGTAATATGCATCGCTTAAAGTCGTCATATTATATCAACATAGTGAGATGAAGGTACCACGACAAATGCCAGAGTAGTGGGAATAGTAACAATATCAAAAGTATTGTAATATGTTAAGGAGAAGCAATGTGATTCTAAAATAAAGAACGAATTTACTGAATCAAAAGTATAAGCTAGCCTTTTCCAACAACAAAAAACACAACAGAATCGTCTCTTTTTACTTCAAGCACAAATGCTCAAACGTAGAAGTATGCTCATGATGTTTGATAGTTTTCAATATTAATTTCTTTTGTGTTTGTAGATTTTGGATTGCAAAATTAGATATTTTGGATTTTTTCAATCAAATTATTCATTCTAAATTACTAGAAGTTTTCTCTGATACTTTAAATGAAGTAAGTGAAAATTAATAAAATGTTTAAAGTGATATTGAATGTTGAGTAATAATTGGTTAAAATAATGTACATTTTTATTGAGAATAATAATAGGAAAGAATTGTTAACATTATCAAGGCAGGTTTAAGGTGTCAGCTTTCATGAAGTTCAAAAATGCTTTTGTACCATTTTTAAATCTCTTAGGGTTATTTTGACGAACTTTTATAACTGTCCTTTTTTTGGCAGTAGATAATTTTGTTTGTCTGTCAATTGTACTTAGTTATCCAAGTCTAAGATTCCATTTGGTCTTGATGCTTTTCAGTTATATATTTTACAATTATTGGTTAAATCTCCTAATTATTTCCTCTTTTTTATGTGTGTCTATTTGTATTCACTGGTACACTCAGTGAAAAATGGCAAGCAGTAGTTTTGAATTACAGTTTAATATGTAGTAATGTTTTAGTTCACATGGTAATAATAATTTAGAATATATGGCACCTTATTGATAATTATAGTTATAAAATATGCATTGTTTCCCGTAATTAATCATACAAAGGAATCGATCGTTGAAGAGACATTGAGAATGATTCTAAGTGAACATAATCCTATTCATAAACCTTATACTCACCTTAAACTTGATTTAGTATTCTTCAGAACATTTTTATATGCATGATGTCCAAATCTATTACTCTTTTTCCTATCATACATTTCACAATTTTTTATATTTTATATTTTCACAATCTAATATATTGTTTTAGTTTACTTCGTTTCTATGTAGGGTTTACGGTCAGATTATATAAAATATTCACTACATTAACAGACTACAACGATACTTGATGATATTTTTTTGCTTCCTTATAGTCTTTTGTCTCTTTGATCAGTTAATAAACAACATGGAATCTGACATGTATATGTTTCTGTTCGAAAACTAACATTTTCAGAAAAATTTACCAGGATGAAAAACAAACTCATTTAGATTTTAATGATAATGATGATATCCATGGTGCTGGCAAACTAAACATGGAGAGTAAATTAAAAGCGTAATATGATAACCATGAACTAACATTGAAATCAAAGATTTAGATAACTAAATGCATTTGTTCTGTTGTCACCTGAAGTCTGCAATTACGGAATACCATTGTGTTTAAATCTCAGTCTAGACATTTACACGTCCCTATATGCTTCAGTCCATCAGAAACTGACCTTATGGACTAAAAGCATTTTACGAGGCGGTGTCACATTCATCAGTTTTCTCTAATACATTACATTTAATATCAGCATCGATCGCTTGTTTGATCATATGCTAACTATGTTTCTATGTCTACTATAGGAAAGCTAACAGATTGTACATTTTCTCATAAGCCATGTGTTACACATAGAAATTAGTATGAAAAAACTGCTATGAGGCACACTTGGCCTTTGATTGGTAAATAAACGACTCAAAAAGGTCTAGCAAACCCTACTAATAAATAACTATACGGATAACAGAAACATTCTGTTTTTGATTATGTTCAACTTTTTTTTCTAACACGGGTTCATTATTCGATAGTATCTGGTTTATTTCCTGTTAGAACAAATACCTTGTATGAACAGTACTATATTATTTAGGAGTATAATAAAAAGACGCTGTACTTTATGCATTTCCTTCATTTTCAAGGTCAGCAATTATATGTATCCAACACCAAATATACATTTCCTTGTTCGTGAATTGGAATGGTTTTTAAAAGAATCCATCATTTCTGTATGTTTTAACCGATTCATTGCTAGTATTAACAATAATAATTCTTATAAAGTTATTTGATGTGTATATTTGTTCCTTTCAGAAATAGTTGAGATTTTTGATGGTTAATTTCATATCTTTTAAGGTAAACGGCATCACGAACTAATGTTAGCTAGTGTAAACTCATTGATTATCAGCAATTACTAGTATTAGGACAGTGTAAAAAACGAAATTACGTTTGAAATAAATGCGATATATATTTAGTTTACCATCGTTTGTATTATTCCAGTGTGAAATTCACTCATTATTACATATGGTTGTATAACTTCGGCGTGAAGTCCAGTTGGATTCCTATCATTTCGGTTGTAAATGATATTCTATGACTAATGATCAAATGTCAGTAGAATCTGTATACAACTGAATCTGTATAATAAACGTGGTTGTCGTGTTTTTGAAGAAAAAATAGAATCTTCATCTGCCATCAGGTTTTGTTTTGTTCCCTACGTTGTGCAAAATCTCAGTGTCTTCCTATTCCAAGCACTAGTTTCCTCGATTATAACACCTAGATAGTTATTACATCCTTATTTTGAACTTGACAGTAAAAGATTAGGCCATATATTGAACTCAAATCACGAACAATAGATCAAAATTAATTTCAAAATCATACCTGTTTATTGTAATTTCGATTTTCAATAGTCTGTTCATGTATAATGTATGCTAACGAAAAATGTTCATCATCGCTAAATTATAAAAAGTATCTATGTGATAAGACAATTCTATCAGAGACCGAAAATCACAGCAATAAAAGTAGGAATGGATCATAAGAATAAAACGTTATTCTTTATGAGTACTATAGGATAGGTATATTGTGGCTCACAGTGAAATTCACGACATGCGTTTCCTCTTACTTAAGACTCTTCAGTTGGTTGTTCCAAAATCCGTGGCGATATTCAGATCGAGACTAGAACCCAGTACTTCTCTTTCTAAAGCTAACGGGTTTATTCAAATCGCTACTAATAACTATATATATGAATAAACATATATTTTTGACCTTTTTAAACAAAATCTATTAACAGATTGATGGAAAATTATATTCGTTCATCAAAGGTATTCCCCAAGGATCGTGTATTAGTTCAGATTTGGCTAATATCTATTTAGCTCATTTGGATCGTCAATTACATAGAACACAAACTATTCTTTGGTCTCCTCACAAATTCCTACAAAATGATGTGTTCAAAACAACAGATATTCATTTAAATAAATGTTCAACTATTCTACGTTATTTAGACGATTATCTGTGTATATCAACATCTAAAATTGAATTACAAAATTTAATAAAGAGAATAAACACTTGTGAGGAATATTTACTGTTATGATTAAAATATCATATTTTTTTAATCTTTTATTTCGTGGGTTTCGCACTGCTGACGAGTCCCACAATAGAATGAAACACCCGTCCAGTGCTTCCAGGTTTTCAACGTTGGTCCAGCTTAGATAAACTCACGAATTCAACCAATAAATTACTACAATCTCCACAAACCCGTTCTGACAATATTTTTCCCATTCCGAAAAAAGAATAGTCTTTTGCTTTAATCTGGTTATGCATTAATTTTCCTGTCTATAGGTATCAGTACCCCGATTGGACTTGATAGTTCCAAATAAATTGAGCATTGATTAAAGAGTTAATAATATATTTGTTAATAATTATCCTGTTTATAGATTGTTTAGTGTGTTTAAGGAGTCATGATCTAGTTTTGATGTCATCAAATCATCGATTTCCCCCCAAGATTTGATACACTCATATTCTATAATTAGTTTATATGCGCAACTGAATAGTCCCGATTGGGGTACCATCGGATCACCGAATACCTGTTTCATCCTAGCATGGGACTACCCAAGAGTGTACAGCTATGAGCCAAACGGTTCCATAGGATGAAAAAGGATTTCAATATTTCTTGATTTTCACTAGTATCCCATCCGTGATGAGTAAAGTTTGCAAATTAAGCTGATCTCCACTACACATCTGCTTTATCTTTAAGTTTCTGTCAAGAAAACAAATTCATGAAAACTATGGAGGTGGACTGGTTTTATAAAATACTCTATTTTTGGTTCTTAGATAGAATATCCCATCTTCATAACATCTGTTGGGGTTTAAACAACCGAAAAACATCACAAACACATAGAAACGGTACAGATCAAAGCTGGTTACTTGATAAATGAATTGCATTATGAGTGAGGATAAGCTACTCATAAGATATTAAAATGAAGATGAATTATGTTTGTTCTCTCCAAAGTTGATAGAACATTTTGATAATAAAATAGATGGTACGTGGATTCAAATAAATACTAGGATTTGAAGTAGATAATGTTTAGGTTATAGGTTCACAATAGTCGGTCCACTGAGACACGGGATCTAACCAGTCACGGTGAGCATCATGTCTATATACAAATGTGCGTTTGAAGTTTAAGTCCATATCAGTCCTTCAATTTATTTATTGAATTGACAGTATTGGGTTTAACTCTTATGTAATTATGAAAATCAGTTGAAATTACGATTCCGAAATTAAAATAACTCCAGCTACAATTCACCTATACATAAATACTGCTTTTTCAACCTAGGTCATATCAGACTGTCCAGTTCTCTATTCATATAATTCGAAATGCTTTTGATACTAACTGAAGCTTACTACTTTCTTTCTCTCTGTCATCATTTATTTACCGAATATGTAAACAATGTGAAAACTCTATATACATTCACAATTCATCATTTTTATGTAGTTGAACTTAAGAAAATCAACCGGTATACTTACTGACTAACAAATTCTTGAAGTTGGTTAGAGATTTACTCATGTTCGATAGTACACTGTAATAAGGTATACTGACAGTAATCATTATTATTAGTTGAACATGTAGCCATAAACTTACTCACTTACGTCTGTTACTCCCAATGGAGCATAGGCCGTCGACCAGTATTCTCCAATCCACTTTGTCCTGGGCCTTCATTTCTAGTTCGATCCCATTGTTGTTCATTCTCCTCATATCTGTCTACATTTCCCGGCGTAATGTGTTCTTTGGTCTTCCTCTTCTCCTTTGGTCATGGGGATTCCAAGTGAGTGCTTGTCTGGTGACGCAGTTGGGTACTTTCCTCAATGTGTGTCCTATCTACTTCCAGCGCTTCTTCCTGATTTCTTCCTCCGCTGGGATTCGGTTTATCTTCTCCCACAGTAGGTTGTTGCTAGTAGTGTCCGGCCAACGGATCCGAAGTATTTTGTGTAGACAACTGTTAATAATCACCTGAATCTTCTGGATGATGGCTTTCGTAGTTCTCCAGGTTTCTGCCCCATACAGTAGAACTGTCTTGACATTTGTATTGAAAATCCTAACCTTGGTGTTGGTTGATAGTTGCTTTGAGTTCCAGATGTTCCTCAGTTGTAAATATGCTGCTCTTGCTTTGCCGATCCGCGCCTTCACATCTGCATCAGATCCACCCTGTTCATCAATGATGCTGCCCAAATATGTAAAGGTGTTTACATCTTGCAAATCTCCTCCGTCAAGTGTTATTAGATTGGTGCATGCTGTGTTGTATCGGAGAATCTTGCTTTTCCCTTTGTGTATAATGAGACCTACTGCTGAGGCTTCTGCTACACTGGTCGTCTTCTCCTGCATTTGTTGTTGCGTGTGCGAAGTCTAGAGCGTCCAGCTGTATTCTAGCTGTCCACTTTATCCCGTGCATCCCTTCAGGTTTTGACGTCTTCATGATCCAGTCGATCACCAGGAGAAAGAGAAAAGGTGAGAGTAAGAAACTTTGTCTGACACCGGTCTTTACCTTGAACGAGTTTGCCAACTGTCCTCCATGCACGATTTTGCAGTTTAATCCATCATAGAAATTCTGTATGATATTGACCATCTTCCCAGGCACTCCGTAGTGTCGAAGGAGTTTCTATAGTGTTTTCCTGTCCAGTCTATCAAATGTTTTCTCGTAGTCAATGAAGTTGATGTAGAGTGGTGAATTCCATTCAAGTGATTGTTTCACAATTATCCGTAGAGTTGCGATTTGGTTTGTACAAGATCTATCCCTACGGAATCCTGCCTGTTGGTCTCGAAGTTGGGCGTCTACGGAGTCCTTCATTCTGTTTAATAATACTTTGTTGAAGACTTTTCCTGGTGTTAAGAGAAGAATGATGACTCTGTAGTTATCACACTTGCTGAGATCGCCTTTCTTTAGCATCTTGATCAGGTGTCCTTTTCAGTCTGTTGTTATTGAACTTATGAACTTAATGTCATTTATATTTTTACAATGTCTTATCAATCAAACAGTGATCAACGCTATAAATTCTTTTTTTATATCAATAATCATAACTTAGTTAAAATCAATCAACTTTTAATTAATCTAAAATATAGATTGTATAAAAGATTTGATTTTATCAGAAAAATTAATTTATCCCTGTATATATATTACATCACAATTTCTTCAATTGAGTATTGATTGTATTTCTCTTTATGTTTTTCTTGTTTTCAGCACTTAACTCTTATGGATTATTATTGAATGAACAAAAATTGCAAACTAATCTATATGACTCAAGTAAAGTTTAAAGATTTTAAATAATCTCTACGTTACATTTTCCTTTTTCAACTGAACTCTATTAGAAAAATATCATTATAAAAATTAAGTCAATGGAAAATGTGTATTGATTTTGTTATTTTTTTATTATCAAAAGAATCCATCTGCAAATTAGTTACTAGTTATCACAAGAATAAACACTGTCGATATCCAGCTTATTAGGTAAGGTGGAAGTGATTACTTCATACTCTCCTAAATTCAAAAATTGTTCGTTTTACGTTAGTTACTGTTATAACTTGTGAACCTGCGTGCCCTTTATATTGCATAAGGCAACGATACCGCCAATCAGAAAGCAGCGAATTATCGATTGAACAGTGACGCATAAACACACGTGCGAGCAGCCTAGAGTCCTGATTGGTCTTGCTTCCCTGTCTAGCCCAACCAGTTGAGTCCAGAACACCAATCTCAGCCTCTGCAGTATGAATCATTTATTTCAAACATACGGGGCTTATATACCAATCAAACAGACCATAACATACCATAAAATAGAAAATAACATGTGTACAATATTTGGCACAAAGTGGCTGTGAATAAGGGAGATAGTAATTAATAGACAGGCCATAACTCAAGAATGGTAAATCGTATAGTAATAGTCTATGTGTCAAATTAAAGCTTATAATAAGAGGGACATGAATATGGACAGTTTAGTTACATAACAATTATACGATAAAAATATACTCATAGTATTGGTCCATAAACGGACCCCAAAAGTTACCATTCATTATTCTTATCGGGATATAACAGTTACAAGCAAAATTATTTATCTCATTGTATTGTAGAAAAATCTCTTCGTCGAATAGTTTATAAGTTGGTTATATCAAACTAGATCAGTAGAAAAATGAACAAAACTAAGATTTTGGATGAGCTTTATTATGATTTGTTGTTTATACATTTGATATTGATCAATATATCATATCGTGATTATTATGAACGACCTTTAAGAATAGTTTGAATAATGAGTGATGTTATTATCTAAGTCCTTATTTTTGTAATCAAAAAATAGGAGAAGTTATTGACTGATTTACAAAGAAAGAAATTTATATACATACACGCGTGCATTCATCATTCATTTGGACCTTTACTGACCTTCTGTATGAGTGATATATTTACAATGAATTGATCACTGATCAGTAATCATTATCATGTTCATAGTCCTTTATTACTGATTGAATCCCTTTTTAATCTGTCCAATCAACACATGAAGTCTTGGACCACTATCATTCACAGATATTTATTCCATTTAGCATTATTCTTCATTGTTTTTACTATCTTCTTAATAATAATATCTTGTCAGTCAGTCAGCTACAACGTAGGACCAGGCCCATTTATGCATCGGTCCAAGTTGCCATACCTCATTAACACAACAAGATGGACACCGGATTCATGAAAGTAGTTAATTCAGAGGTGGTAATATATAAAACAAAGATTGCAATAAGGATATAGTACAAGAAGAAAGAATTAGTTCGTAGAAAGAAAGACATGAAGCAATTTTAATCTCTTAGTTTAAGGGAAGACAGAGAGTGTATACACCGACGCCATTGTGATCGATTCTGAGCCATGTCACCAAGAGTCTCCAACCATTGGTTACGATAGTCACGCGGACCCCGACCAAGTAGTCTGCATCTACCAACATGGGTCAGACTACAAGTTAGTGACTTCAAGGACTGATGCCACGTTTTGGTTTGGCCGCCCCTAACTTTCTTCCAACTATCCCGAACGCCGGTTAGCATTACACGTCGTGGTAATCGGTGTTCGGGCATACGTAACACGTGGCCTAACCATCTCAGTCGATGAAGATTCAAAACCTCATCAACTGATTTACCATCCTTACCTAATACCCTGCGTCTAACCTCACTATTACTTACCCGGTGATCCCAGCAGATGCGAACATTATTTCTGAGTCATCTGTGGTCAAATACTAGTAGCTTACGAGTGTCTTCTACTCTTAATGGCCATGTTTCGCTGCCGTAAATTAAAACAGAACGGACTGCCGCACAGTATACTCGTCCTTTTATTGATAGACGGATATCTCGCCTTCGCCATAGGGGACGTAAGTTGGCAAAAGCCAAGCGAGCTTTTCGAATCCGTGCTGAGATTTCGTCAGACACCAACCCATTAGGGCTGATCAGACTTCCAAGATAAGTGAAGTTGTCAACGCGTTCGACTACTTCACTCCCTATCCTTAGTTCAGGTGTTGACTCAGACCAATCCTGAAGCAGCAGTTTGCATTTCGAGGGAGAGAAGCGCATTCCAAACATTCTGGCATTGTTGCTCAGTGCTACCAGAAGACTCTGCATTTTATCAGCGTCTTCACCAAACAGGACTGTCATCTGTGTATTCTAAGTCGATAAGTGAACCTCCTGGTATGCGATCAATACCCGAGAATTCAGTCGACGAGAGTGTTATTTCCATCAATAGGTTTATGATGAAGTTAAACAAAAATGGAGAAAGTGGACAGCCTTGACGGACACCACTTGAGGTTGCAAAAGTAGATGACAGTTCGCCATAAGCTCTGACTCGACTAGTAGTGTTCGAGTAAAGAGCCTTCACAAGGTTTATGTACTTCTGAGGTACGCCTTTCAATGACAGACACTGCCACAGAATCTCGCGGTCTATGCAGTCGAATTCTGCTTTTAGGTCAAGAAAGACCACCATTGCCGGACTCCGATAAGTATGCCTCTGTTCTAGTACCTGACGAATGGTGAATATGTGGTCGATGCAGCCACGACCATGTCTGAAGCCACCTTGATTCTTTCGTGTTTGCAGTTCACGAGTCCTAGTTAAGTGTCCGATAATTATCGAGGCTAGTATTTTAGATACTATATTAGTTAAACTAATCCCTCTATGGTTGTCACAGGATGATTTTAACCCTCTCTTATATATTGGGACGATAAGCGATTGTGACCAGTCAGATGGAATAACGTCTAACTGCCAGATCTTAGCTAAAATATTAGTCAACCTAATCGCTAAAATTGAACCACTATCCTTAAAAACCCCTGGAGTCAATCCGTCTGGACCAGCTGCCCTTCCTCGTTTCAGATTAACTATAGCCTTTTGAACTTCTGCTAGAGTTGGGGGACCTACTTCAATGTTCCATTCACACTGTCTGGGAATGGAGGGTAGTTGTAGAGTAGCTGAAGGTCAGCTGAACTGTTCTCTGAAATGTTCTGCCCATAGTTCTAAACGTCTGGACTGAGAGCAGATGAGGGTGTCGTCTTTTTCGGAAAGTTTGACTTATACTTGATTTATTAATTCCAGTTTCTTTTATTAGTCTGTGTTCCCTTTAGCCGCCTTTTCCATCTCTTTTGCTTTCGCTGACCACCACTGCTCACGTTCGTTGCTTAGACTTTTGCCTAACCTAGATCTGATTTGTTTTCGCTCTTCATTATGTTCAGAGCCTGATGGGATGAGTTTACGAGAATACATCAGTACAATAGACCTTGAGAAAATCCATTGGTTCTTTGTAACCCTGTGGTTTAAATCAGTGATAGATGTCACTGCTGTTTCCACAGCTGTTTGTATATCTTTCCAAGCAACATCTGGGTCAACCTCGTTTTCAGAACTACCTAATTGTGACCTCAGTTGTTCCTGGAACCTACTTTTGGTTTTCTCGCTACTCAATTCAGTTCTAATGGGTCTTTGTACTGTGGCTTTTTTGCGTCCAGTGAGGCGCAAGCAGATGCGTGCCCGTATTAGGGTATGGTCGGAGTCCAAGCAGGTACTCCAAAATGAGCGACAATCTTCTACCGACCCTCTCCAACCATGACTGATGGCAATATGGTCTATTTGAGTCCATCTGGACATTAAAGTCACCTGCTACGAGTACTATGTCTGAACGTTTAGCTTTCTGAAGAAGTTCAGATAGCTTTTTGTAAAATTCATCTTTCACTTCATCTGAGCTGCAGTCAGTAGGAGCGTAGGCAGAAACGACAAAAAGGCAACAACGTGTGTCCCTATCCTTCCGAGTTCTTACGGAGCCGTTTAGCCGAACAGCACATAAACGACTGTTAACGGGGATCCACTCTAACAGTGCTTGTTCCGCCCCCATGCTTAGTGCTATCCCTACTCCTGCCAGTCCACGAGAGCTGGCCATCGGGTCACCAGATACACGGAGGGTGTATCTCGTTGGCTCTCCGTGTTGCCGAGGTGAGGTCAAGTGAATGACCACACTGGGATCCTGTATGCGTGTTTCAGAGAAACAGCATACATCAATGGTACGAGATTCTAGGGTTCTAGCCAAGGAAGCCTGTTGACCGATTTGACATAGGGTGCGTACATTGAAGGCTCCAATGTGTAGTTTGGAGCGAGGTTTCAGTAGACCTGGGACAGTGTTTTGAGCACTAGAATCGTTGGCTATGGTGACATTTGAGGAGGAAGCCGAAAAAGGAAGTTTAGAGGTGAAAGTCGATGTAGGTGGAGTAATAGGAAGTGAAGACTGAGGTTGGTTATGAATACCGTGGTCTTGAGTGCTGTCAGAGGTATGAGGGCGGTTATCACTTCCCGGTCGCCCACACCATGGAAGGATTTTTCTGGAGGTACCTGGAAAGGAAATTGAATTAGAGGTGGTCTTAGTGACCCGAGAGCGTGACCGCAGCTCCCAAGGGACAACTGATGAGGTCGGTCACACACGACATTTTTATGGGTAATTTTTGTGTTAGCTCCGTACTTTTTGGGACCTTTTCGCCGGAGACGGATATCCGTGGGATAAGGCGAGGTGTGCATTTTTAGTGTCGACCTTTTCTAACCCCACCCATCCTTGTGGGAAGGCAGCATCGCTGTCATGCTGGTTGTCTGAAGGAAACACCTTACTGCTGTCACACCTCTGTACAGTCAGCAGTACTACTTCGCCTTCGGGCCTTGGGTTTGTTGCTTTTAGTCTTGCCGCTCTTCAACCGACGTGTCTGACATGGTAGGACGTTGAGGAACAGTTGTTCCAGCCAGTATAGCTCGGTTGCTTCATCACGATAGGCAAGCCCGACCACCACGTCAAAGTAGCAACAACGGTTGGGAATAATATCTTGTATAAAGTGAGAAGTCTTACTTTAAGATATATGTATTCATTGTGTTGTAATCACTTATGTATTTTTTTCTTTGCATTAAATAGATGTCCCTATAAAGTGGCTTGGGATTGAAGTATATTCTAGTTTAGCAATAACTTTACCCAAAAATAATAGTCCACGTATGTTTTTAAATTCATTTATAATATAAATAACATTACATGACTTTAACATTAATTTATTGGTTTATTCAGGTCTTTGCTAAAATTTTAAATGTAAACAATTCAAAACTATCTTTTACCGCAAATTGATACCAAACAAAAAATAATTACTACGGGGTTATTTTGTTTTAATTTGAAATTCTGTAAAAAAAAGCATGAGCAGCTCCCTTCTCCTCATTCAACAGATTCAAATTCAAGATTTCTGGTTCATATGGAGAGTATAATACTAGTGCTTGTGCCTAGTGTTCAATATATTCTTCAATCAGCTGATATCAGTTTGTAATATGAAATACTTATTAGGTTGGATTGGATTTCTACCAAGCTACTACTCTGGTGAATTAGCAATGGATTCACTCTAGTTATTTGTCGAAATTTGTGTTCATTTACTTGTATGATGGTGACGATAACGAAAAAAACCCAACAACAATAACGATATGGAAATTTACTCATCGTTATCTCAACAATACCTTACGTAGAACCATTACTGAAACACAGTAATAGTTATGTTACGACCTTGATCTGTATGTCTACTCGTCCATTCCTAATAAGCAAAAGGGGAACGAGAGTTGTTTTGAGCTACTCTACGACCTTGACACACTTTATCACTTAGCAAAACTCTGAGAATAGAAAAGTGTATGGGAGTAGTCCATTCATCTAACGAAAGCTTAAAATTTACTGAGTAAAGCAGACACGAAACTAAATCTTAGCATTTTACAGATGTTGAATTGAGCGAGACAATATCCCAAAACATAGCTTTCGTTGTTTGTCATTTCTTCTTTACTCGTCCGTTTGAATCAAATAATAATATTAGTGTGATTTTTTTTTGTTTTTTACTATACTTTCTGTTATTATGTTGTACTTTGAATGTTAACTTTTAGCAAGATTTTGTCGATTTTCTGGTCAATCGTTATCAGCCAATGATTGCATGAGACGATTATGTAAATTTCGTCTTCATTGTCCAACTTGGCGTTTCACTTTCCACAAGATAATCTATAATACTAACATTAGGCAAAATGTATTTATTTGTAAAAATGCAAATATCAGAAAAACAGATTATTTGTTACAAATCAACGCTAATCGATTAGGCAACAAAATAGCTGATATTGTATGGATATCTTTGAAAACTTCACCGGAAAAAGATCGATTACTTCTACCTTCTGTATCTCGAAGACTAGCAAGTAAGCGAAAAAATCGATGCTGTAGTATGAAAAGAGGTTTTTCCCCCTTTTTAATTAACATGAAAAATTTTCTTCATATCACAAAACCCAAGAAACTGCAATTGATTCCGCGAAACCCATTTCAAAATAGGCTTATGTAACAGACCCATATATCATTTATTATATAGCAGTAATGTTGAGAGCTGGGATACGTGTATGAAAATGAGTTAGGGCTAGTCAACTTTCTTATTGGTAATTCACAGGTCGGTATCTTAAATACAGGTCCCGCTTAGTTCTCATACTTCTTATTTTTTCATCCACAATTTAAAAAATATTGAGTAATTAAACTCTTGCTCTCCATAATATCTATTGTCTGGAGATCTACGTTTTTGCACTTGAATTGATAAATCAAGCTAAAATAAAATGTGAGTTTCAGTATAGTTCAGACAAACAACTGTCAGATCACTGAATACATAGAATCTAACTACCAACTAGGTTTCAATTTCACTTCATTTATTTAATATTGTTCGTTATTGTTTCATGTAAATAACAGATAAGTATATATTCTTAACTGATTACATTCTATAACCTATTAGATAAATTGGTTTCTTCAAATTGAAATCTGAACAAAAACTGAACCGATAAGGATGCGCGGATAAACAGTCATTGGCAATAATCACAAGAACGTTGAGTAATTAACTAAACGATCAGTCGTTCACATCTTTATGTTGTTGATTAAGGTCTCAACAACAACTAAGCAGAACAGTCTGAATTGATTTTATTTCGCGGTCTTTCTTCAACCACTTACAAGCGTATTTGTTTTCGGGTGTAACATTAAATTATGATAATACACAATGCTTATCAGTTATGTATATATGGGAATAAACGTATGCAGGGTTATTTGAAAATGAACATTGAAGACCTACAAAAGGTGAAGCAGTGATTACATAGCATAAAAAAAGAAAAGATAGATTACGTAATAACTGCTGGTATTTGTCAAGTTTACATAAGTCTAAGATTTCCAACTTTATGCACGTTGTTATTTCAGTTGTTTTCCATCATCATTGTAGATTATATCATAATTCAGTACTATATTTCTATACGAATACTCTTGTAAGTGGATGAACGGACCATAAAATAAAATCGATTCATATCGTTTTGTCTTAAATGTTCTTCTAGCTTTATTTCAGTTCATAAACGTAACTAACTATATCTTCTTTGTATACTTTATGATGTTTGCTTGTGTTTTAATCATTAACTTAATATAGACAACGAATTTTCAGACTTTAGCAGGTGTTTCCATCAACTTTTCTTGCCTCACATAAGTTTAGTTGTATGATGTTTTTCTTTCGAAATACTGTTACAAAGGAAAGCATGGACTGTGATTAGTTGAATATTGAATAACATTTTATTAAATGACAGTATATTCCAGTACATAAATAGGGTGATAATGACAGTGATTACAGAATACAATGAAATCATATGTCGTTCTTGCTTAATTGAAATTAATGTAGGAAACCAGCTGCATGAAATACCAGTATTTCAGAGGTATTGTTCAAAATAGTTTATTTGTTTAAAAAGAAGTTTCTGTGCATGTATTTAAAGTTGTTGACAAACAGTTCAACGCTGTTCTATTAAGATTTATTGGATCCATACTGATTAGAATGGTTAAATCTGATTTTCGTGTTCAGGGAGTCACTGACTGAGTATCTAAAACAAAGTTCAATTCTTTATTTGTTCTAATGAATTCATATCTTTCTGAAAGAAATGTTATTTTGCTCCACTAAATTAATAGAATTAACTTGTATTCGCTTGTGTATGTTTTAAATTACAGTTGCTATGATTCATCTATCACATATGATACATATACATACTGATGATTCATTCAAATGATAATTATTTCTCAACAAGCCCACACACTGGATCAACCTGTTTCCTGTAAATATTCAGATTTTATTTAATTAGATAAATAAGAAAAGAAAATAACTATAAAAAAGCATATTGGTTTCCTCCCCATAATATTTATTTCCTTTATTTGTATAATTTACTCAGATTACAGTGTTATAGTGTGTACTAATCTTCAGTGATATAAAAATCTGTAAATTTCATTTGTTATATGTCAAGTCGATCTCGGTACATCAATTACAAATCATTGATTTAGTATATAATTATTTTTTATGAGATCAGTTTTTCACATAACCATGATGTACACAAACATGACTTTAAATCAGTAATGGAGATATGAAATTGACCAATCAGAGGTTAAAGGGAAATCTTAGGCATTAAGTGTAGATAGTGCAGAAGTAAGTTGAAATCACTAATGATTCATTGATCTTTAGACCGTGTTTCAGAATCGCATATTAAGGTATTTAGTTATAAAGCGGATCATGTAAATCAACGAACACATTGTTACAATGAATATTACTAGCAATACAATTGATTGATCAGTGTTTAAATTCAATTCGCTTCTTACACATGAATTGGATACATCTGTCTTTGTAAAGTTCCTTGATATTAACGAATACTTTAATCACTTAACATATTAATATAATCCATACAATGTTGAGTCACTTAAACTAGTAGTTACATTGTAACTCTACCAACATAATTCGACCAGTACTAAAGGAGTAGTCAGGTATGACTTTGATCACTGCCTCATGATCAATCAATTATAAATACCTCTCTCTGAAATTCCATTATTAAGAAACGTCAAATATAAAAAATTTTAATATTCTAGGTGTTTCTAATCGCATAGTAATTATTTTTGACTCGAATTAATTCGATGATAGAAACATTTCAACCATGTTTTCATTTATTTATTTCATGTTTCTGTCATATTAAAAGTAGCTGTTGACAGATTCAGTTCACCACAGGCAATCAAATATAGTTTTACAATATCGTTAATTTATTGATGTTAGATATGTACACTATTATATTCCAATTCAATGACCTAAAAGTTATTCATTCGTGTGTGAGACTGAAAGTCTTGGATTTAATCGTCTATAGTAAGATCATGGATTTATACTATTGAATAGTCTAACATTAGGACAGAAAAGCTATCTAATGCTTCTTGACTATCAGCGATTGTCTATCTAGTATCAATGTATAGTGTAATTAATAGAAATATAATTTATTATTTTACTTAAATTATTTCGAAGAATCAGTTTTATAATTTGTTTTAATTTATTTTTTAAATAATTATAACCTTATTTTATTTTATTAATTCAGAGGTAATATGTAGGTGTATATCTGTCAATATTGGCTTTAATCGTTACTGGTTATATCATTTAACTGTGAATAGTTTTATTAAACGTTTACTTCCACATAAAGGTGAATTAAAATGGTTAATTAATTGGATGCAACAATTTAATCATTTAAACAAAAAAATGTTTTTTTATTTTATAATAAAAAGAAAACAATCACTATGTAATTAATTATTGTAAACAAAATAAATTTTCTCATTTTATTTTATGGATAAGAATGATTGTTTGTTTTTTTTTACTCTTGAGAAAATTGAATCAGCCTACTTGACCACTGAGCTGGCATCAAACGGTGTTAATGTCTAATCTCAACTAATCCACGAAATTGCACGACCATCTTCCATTGTACTGAGGTACATACCTGTCTCTACCCAACATGGATTAGCCCCATGATCTCAATCAAAAACTTAATAATCTCCACAACCCTCATACTGATAGTTAGAGTATTTAGTTGTTGATATTTTTTACTAAAATGTGATCAGTCTTGATTGGTATATATTCATCTTGAGGGACTGCTTTGATATAACAATTATAACACAAGTTTAGTTGGAATGCGATGACATTAAACTGCTCATCACAAGATGTACATATTACTAAAATGATTGAGTTTCGGTCAAAATATCAACATTGGGTTATTCCAAACCATTAAAAAGAAGAAATAAATTCGAATTTATTCTCAATGTACAAATGAATAACTGTTGGGACTCAAGAACTAAATGAGTAACTCATTGCCGTTTTAAAGAACGGTATTGGGTTTGAGTCCCATAGTGAACATCAAATCTGGGATGCAGTTGTATCCAGCCGATGAGTCTAAAATGAGACGAAATGTCCTTCCAGGATTTCACTGCTAGCTATATTCTACCTATTCTACATAAAGTATTCTCAGTGTTTTTAATTCTGGCTCAGTAGATACGATAAACTGTAGCAATATCAACGAATGGCTTACATTATTCATTGACCGTTATATTGAATTTTGTACTGGCATTCTGTTCTTTTAAGCTGATTAACAATTATTATATATCACTTAGTATGAAGGACACAGAGTACAAACTTATGTTGTGTACAATCGTGTGACATGTTTTTATCTGTTCAGTGTACTTTATTTCAATGAATGGTTTGCACATAGCTCTAGAATAGTTTTCGGATTTATTACTTGATTAAATCTCGGAAATAATTTATGTCATGATGTTTATCCAGTTTATTAAGTTATAATTGTACTGACCTTTATTAAAATGTGTAAGCAAGCGTTTTCTTGTAGACAGAGGTGTCTTAACGTGTGGTTATAATCCATAACTGAGATTGTCATTAGTATGGCTAAACTCTACTTGTAAACGATAATCTTACTCATTTAAGTAATTATTCTTAAAAGCGATATGAAGATTATTGACTTCAAAATGACACTAGATTTCGCATTTTTATGTGAATTATTATTATTTCTGCTGCCAGTTCATATTCTATTTCAATAATGTTCGTTAAATTGTTCTAAAGAATCACTCTCAACCAGTGATTTATTCATCACCTTTCTCTGTATCAGATGATTTCTTTCCTTATGCTTAAAGTTGATGCTTAAGTGACATTGTTCAAAGTTAGTCTCGAATGAGGAGATGCATTCACTTTTTGTCTTCCTTAAAACCTTGAGTTTTGAAATTAACGGACACCTTTTTCTTACACGAATCAATTCTTTCTTCTAAAATCATACTTTTCCTATCACCGATGCTGCTACTGTACTGAACGCTAACACCAGTCGGGTCAACCGAATGTATTTGAACACAAATTTACAAAACATCTTAGTAAAATCCGAGAACCATACAGTAAATGCTTCATTTGCAAAATGTCAATTAATTATCTCAGACTTGATTGTTCCTTCATTTCCACACCAATCAGTCTCTGTTCACGTTCTCTTCTTTTCTATCTTCTCAACCTTCAGTCGCCAGGTATTCCACTTTCGGTTGGTGGTACATATCTGTTGACATCAGTAGGACATACCACTCTACTACTCTAGTATTCATTTTGATAATTTCATCTCGCTGTGGTGATATGTTGTAGCAGCTTAAACAGATTCACATATGTGTCAGGTTTTATACTGCTTATGGCTGATGGACAACAGATTTAGTTTACTTGTTAATTTGACCATATTTCAATACTTAGAGCATTAACTAAACCTATCCTGTATTTGGGCTTTGAATACCATAAATTATATTTTGCAGTGAACTTCTATCACATTGAACTAGATATTTATTTAGATATGTTCATAATGACCCCATGAAGAGTATGTTATTTAACACAAACTTCTGACAAATTGAAAAGTCGTTCCTATTCGATCAAACCCAGTTTATTTTTCTCAGTCAATAAACTGAAATTTATTTCTGTTCTCTTATTAGAGTCTGACTGAAATAACCTCGATCAGGAGGGCGTAGGCTGACAATTATCAATAAGCTTAGTAGGAATAATATTCATCGTTCCAGTACCAGGTGAATAAATGCTTCTTCTAATATTATAAATTTACCTCAGACAATCGAAAATAGTCGCGAAATTTCATGGATTAGTTGCAGTTAGATATTAACACCGTTGGATGCCAGCTCGGTAGTCTAGAGGTTAAACGTTCGCGCTATACTGAAGGTCCTGGGTTCGAATCCGGCGTGCGGACTCGTGGGTGCACGCTCCTAAGGAGTTCCATACTAGAGCGAAACGGCCGTCCAGTGCTTTCAGGTTTTCAATGGTGATTTAACATTAATCGACTCATGATCTTAATCACAAACTTAACAATCCCCACAACCTCACTATTATGCTTGTGATCAGTGATTTTCTCATAATATTTACATATATGCCCGCTCCCTTCAATCCACTACGAAACATCTAGAACATCATAACTTTATTGGTGTTGAAAATTCCCCTTATTAATACCCTCATTTTTGGGCAACCAGTGATGTAATAACTCACATTAGATCAAAGCCCTTGTTCATGCCTGTAGAGATACATGATTTTAGGCAGATTCGTTGTGCTGTGTTGGTTGAATTGAGTAATTAAACCTATGTGCAGTAATTCCATCGTCATATCAAAACAACACTTTCCTAAATATCTCTAACTTGAGTTTCAAATGCATCAGGAAGTGATTTTAACAGATGGGCTGGTGTGTATTGACTACAATACAATAAAAAATAATGTTTCAACGATTTGTTCCGGGCTATGTTGTGCTATATTTATTTACTATTATCCGCTAGCTTCTAATGACCATATGTATCGTAAGGCCAGTTAAATGTCACTGGGTCCTAGCCAAATCACCGTGCAGTTAGATCACTGAATATCGAATAGGTCGTCAATCCCTGTCAGCGACAAAACCAACGCAAACGTCATGAACTGACGCACGCGATGGTCGTCTCGTTATGTCCTCTGTACTCATTCTTACTAATATATTTCCTTAATAACGTCATTTGTGTTATGAGGTCCTCAAAGCAGCCTTAATACTTTAATACGTCAAAGGGGTAATCCACGTTAGATTTTGACCGAAAAGTGTAACTTCGAAGATAGCTTTTGGTCACACCATTCCCGTCTAACTCGAGTAGACCTCCAATCATTCGACATAGATCATCTACGTTGGCGATTCACAGTATAGTACACAAAATGCATATTACTATATTTATCTTTGAAATTTCGGTAACTATTTATCTTCGGTTTTTCTCGCAACAGGATTGTGCAAAATTCATTTGTATGTGCCGGTAAGAATATATGAGAGAATCCTCCCGTGTGTCGTTTACATTCAACTGTTTGCTAGTTGTTTCTTTATATGCATCGTTTCTATACTTGTTTATATTTTTTGGTCTCTTTGCGATTACTATAACTATATTGTTCACAACATCTGAATCGTAACTCACTCCTTATTATGTTGGGTCTTTTAATAACTGCTCTATCCTTATTTTATTGGACAGCGATTTATGGAAGTCACCATGACGTATTGCAGTACTTCTGTAGCTATCTTGAAAACTGATCGCTCCTGTTAAAAAGTAGGCAAGTTTGTGGGGCCATTTAGATCTGACGGTGTTTGTTGGCGGGCTGTCCACTTTAGTGACCCGGGATCTGACTCCAATTTTGTCGTATGAATGATCGTTGTCGAAATATATGTGTCGCCTATCCTCGTATATAATCATCAACTTGAATCGCGTTAGTCAATAACGGAATTAAACATGTCAAATAACGAGAATGGACTTTTGAATATATATATATATACTGTGCGAAGAGAAGAGAGCGAAGCGGAAATGACGCGCGTTGGAGAAAGCGTGTGAGCCAACTCCATTTAGTCAAGCATTAATAAATATTTATAGTCACACAAAAATAGGTCAGACATATGATGAGTAACGGGATAAGAAGTGTACACACATATATGCGCTCATATAAAAACAGTCAAAGTTGATAAGCGAATAATTATCAAGGTCAGAATGTGACTCAAGTAGAACGAATAGACTGGTTTATCCGAAAGCTAGAACAAAGTACATGGGTTTAATATAATAAACCGACACTACAAGTTCTCTCTTTCCTTCGTGGACGTTCGAATACAGAAATCGATTAATAATTAAGTTTCTTGAGTAGCTATTTTATAGTTGGTTGCTCATCATTGAACTAAATTGGAATTATCTATTACTTTCCCTGGGTGGAATTTCGTTCCTCTGCTGATGAGCATTTTTTTTCTATTGTAATTATTATATTTCATTGAATGTCCTGTATCTGCTAATAGGGCATCCTCCAAGTACTACTAGTTTTACTTGCGTATACATTTTTTATAACAAAATCAATAGTGTACGTCTTTGAATAAACATCTTTGATTTATTGGAAACTATCAACCGTGTAGACAAACAGGAAGCACTCCAACTCTAGATCTAAAAGGCTGTTTGAAGAAGACCTGCATTCTTTCTCTAATTGTTAACTCAATGAGCGGGTCTGTTGAGTTTAATACGTGAATGAATCCCCAAAATAAACAGATTTCTATGCCTCAAAGTTGTATTGGCCGATATGAAAAAAATATCATTGACATAGTACTCCAAATATAAAAATTACAAGAAATATTCAGCAGGATGT